AATATGCTAATATAAATCTGATATGCTTTATTTCAAACTGTGTAAATTATATTTATAATTTAAAAAATGACTATAAACAAAAAATATTATTAAGGTGTAGTGACTTAGTATAGTTAATAAATTGTTACTACAAGTAGTAAAACAAAGTTTGAATCTTACTAATAATGAAATTCAAATTTTTTTTTTTTTTATTTTTTATTTTTTTTAATTCGGCTGTCTTGCCTTATGCTTTATTGGAAGTATTAGAAGATCGGTATTAACAGGAAATACAATTTTCTATACTATAATCCTATTGCGCAAAGAGACTCACTCAGCACTAAGGCCCAGATGTGACTTGCCTAGCAGCATTATGCTTCACATTGGATTCTCAACTATCTGAGGATTTGATCCCAATGATCACTAGCTGGAGCAGCTACACGCTTTACTAAGAAGCCCAAAAAAGAAAAACAGATAAAAAGAATACAAAGGTATAGGGAATAACAATAAAAGATACAAGTAAGAAAATAAAGGGGGAAAGAAATATCGAAACAAAAACAAAAAGAATAACTATCCTAATATCACGTTTATAGGCCTGTGAAAGGCTTTAAAAATTATATACTATACTAAATAAATTATATCACTACTTTAAATTTATCTATTTAGTATATTTAAGTTTAAAACACTGTTAGATAAACACTTTTTCGACCGGATTAGATAGAGAGGTCGGTACTCGATCCAGATTAGTCTCAGAGCATTGTTTGATCAGCTTTTACATTAGAGGCACGTGCCTTGATGTGTATGTTGTCCCATTATACTGATTTAGAAAATAAACAATGCCGACTGTTTTGGTACACGTGATATAGATCTTTTGAAGGGGGTAAACTAAATCGCCCACTTTTTACAAAAATTTCCTCGAAAAAAAGTGGTGGGTCAACGAGAGTATATGAGGTTCTTCTTGTAAGTTTTACAGTTGTATAGTCCAGTTCCTCAGTTTTCACTAAATATTCTTGACCAGGGACCCACAGGGACGTTGCTTTTAGAATAACCCTTCTGGTTTGAATGCTGAAAGTGTGAGGGAGTCTACTAAAAAGCTTGACCCAAAGGCACAACCCGCTCTTTATTATATGCCCGCTCCTCGGTGTTTCACGTATATGGTAGCTTCGTCGACAGCAAGTTTGTTTGTATGGACCAAGAGTATTATTGTGTCTACTTTGTTGCTTTCCTATAGCGTTTTTCTGTAGTTCGGTTTATTTTGTTGTTGACCAAGAGATCGTCAAAAAGAGTTTTGTGAAATTCAAATTTATAGAATATTATAGCAGACTATATATAAACTAACAAGTCAATACCTATAACTTTGATTATATCTGCTTATACTGAGTATATAATTTATAAATTTAATTTGTAATATTGTTTAAATATAATATTAAACAGAAGAGTTGACTTTGGAAAATTAATTTTGATATATATTATTATATAGAATAATAATACTGTATTTGTAATTTTTTTAGTTTTTTAATGGATTTAATATATTATTTATATATATTAAGACAAGTGTAAATACTGATATAGATTTATATTTGTTGAAGTTAATTTATAACTAAATTAATTTGTTATTCTTTCTAATACATGTCATTAATACTAAAATAATTACTAAAAACATTTTAGAATCTGAGATTTTTTTCATCTTATATTTTTCTCATCTAGCTTATATTTATTATTTACTTTCAAACATTATTAATTTCTAATTCAATTAGTATTTGCCTTTATGATTAATAAATCTCAAAGCTAAACATTAAATCATGTTTGTTTTTTCTTATAAACAACTATATATTGCATATTTCAGAATTACTTTATATTATAATTTAAATTTAGAAAAAGTAAAGTTTTTAGATTTGGAATTTAAATCTGGTTTTAGGGTCTGGTTTTTAAAAACTAGATTCTAATTTTAAAATTTAGATTTTTAGATTTATAATAGGTTTTAGATTTATAATAGGTTTTTAGATTTTTATATTTAAAATAGGTTTTTAAGTTCTAGATTTAAAGGGTGTGACAACTTAGTGAAGTTGGCAAGTTGTCGCACCCCTAAGCAGCAGAACTAGAGTTTGAATCCTACTAGCAACAAAAATTCGAATTATAAAAAATGTATTTGAAAGACTATATCCTATTGGGTTGTAAAACCTGTAATGGTGGTTATACCAGCTTGTACTGAGAGGTAGTAGAACATGTAGTGTGATGTATGAGTTATACAAAATCTGAGTGAAACTACTGAATAAATTTAGCGAATTTACAGAGTACGGGAGCCTGCTTGGCAAGACTTGAATGGAGAGATAAAACAGATCTTTGATGGTTACTATATAAAAGATGATTAACTGAATACCAGAAAACCAGATGGGACCGAGGTGTTTGGCAAAAGCACTATACCAACCAGGCTGATGGGGAAAAACAGAGGAAGGGTTCCACCCTTCCGAGCTGTAGGATTGGGAGTTTGGGTTTTCAGAGATATGAGAGGAAGTCCATAAAGTAAGTACCAGGGTTTGGGTGAACTCTACAAGGGCAGTAGTAGGTAACTGTAGCGGCTTCGGCTCACAAGTACTTGTTCTCAGACTTGGTGTAAGTTACCGAAAAGGCCTAGTCTGGAAATATATGGGATATAGAAAGATTAGGGAGGTATATACTACATCCTTCCTAGGACAACCCAGTAAGTATAAGAACCTTACTGGGTTATCTATAGAATTAGGGCACAAGTAGTGTAGCACATGTCAATCTGGGTAGTCTTTAAATGTATTAGCACGAGGTTATAGGCCAGCGTAATTGTAGGTGGTGGTAAATGTACTACTTAAATACCTAATAAAAATTCGTTTGTTCGCGACATTGCGAGAGAAAAAAAAAAGTTTTAGATTTATAAAGCCACACAAATAAAATTATTCGTTTCTCATTCATATAAATGGTAAAAAATAACCCGGCCGTCTAGAAAATAATTTTATTTTCAAAAAAAAAATTAACTGATTTCCAAAATATGATTGGTTAAAAAGAAACATAATTTTTTTCCACCCGGCGATCTAGAAAAAAAATTTAACATTTTTTACTGTAATAAATTTTTTGCTATCTGGAGGCCCGGGAAAAAAATTTATTATTTTTATTGAACAAATCTTTTCTTTCTAGAGCATACTAAAAATGTGTATATGCAAGGTTGGTAGACAAAATTCTTAAGATTTATTATAGTTAGGTTAGAGTCAAGGTTAGGATCTAAAGAAAAATAGTTTGTAAAGTAAAATTGTTCAATGAAAACTTTTTATTAGAACACAAATGGTGGTTTCTTATGCTGATCAGGAAGATTTCAAAAATCACCCATAGTTCAAAAATCGTGTTACAATTACACCTAATCTTGAAATCTGATTCGTTGTTTAGGAGAGCTGCACCGCCAACCTTATACACATGCTATTTTCATTATGTAGTACGTACGTACATTAGTCTTCAGTGTTCGCAGACTAATAGAACTCTTGTGATTCCATGTAGAACGATTGATTATTCACTTGCGGTAGTAATTAGTAAAGAAAATGGATCTTCATATAGTGTTCATCCACAACCTATTGTGCAATGGATTGTTAATGATAATGCAACCAATATCCCTAAATCTCTACCAGCTGTGAATAGAGTGTAACTCTTTTAAGCATTCGTAATTTAATCTTCCACGTAAGTTTATTCCTTATTTTCATTACTAATATACTGAAATACCTTAAGTATTCATTTTTTCTTGATTTTGAGTTATTCTATATATTGTAAACGTACTATTATTTAATTTACATTTCATAATCTAAATTTTAAAAGCAGTAAATTAAATTCCTTTAAAAAATTAAAATTCTTTTCCTTAGAACTGGCTAATGTCTTGAGCGAAACGAAGCCAAATTGTATAATCAATCACAACTATCAACTTTTCATATACCATCCAATCAGATTACTGAATGTAAGAGCCGAATTCACCTTTGCCGATTTATTTAACATCAGATAATTTATTGAACAAAACTTAATCAATTACATTCTCATAATTAATCAGCTAATATATTTAATATTACTATTTACAATAAAGAACAAGAAGGGCGCTATCATTCTAAAGATATACCTTTCAAATTTGATCTAATTTATCGTGCAAGCCTTGAAGATTTTAGCATTGATAAGTTCCATAGCAAATGCGATAATAAAGGACCAACAGTTGTTATAATTAAAGTTTGAAACTCAGAAGAAATCATTGGTAGATATAATCCATTAAATTGGTGTAGTGCAGATTTTGAGATAAGACGATAAAAAAAATAGTGACCCAGAGAATGAAAACAAGTACTTAACAGGTATATATATATATTATATCCGAATTAGAATCATCTAATTCAGAATTCAAACAGTATCAGATGAGAATTTTGTAATTTCAACTCAAATCATACCAATTTCAACTCTAGCCTAATCATAAAGTCCTAATTTAGTCACAAAATTCTCATCTGGAACAGCTGAATTCTGAATAGAAAGATTCTAATCTGGGTACAGCAAGCACATCAAACTATTATCAAAATTCATAGTTTGATTCAGGTTTGAGCCTGGGTTTGATCAAACCCAAACTGAACCCAAATCAAACCTAGGAACATCTACTACTATATCCACTAACCTGCACAAAAAATTTAGATTAATGAAAAGCATTGCATACATATGTGGGCTCGGGTGTGAATCTTTCTTATATCTACTTCTGACAATGCAATATTGTTAATGTTAATAATTTCATCATGATTCTCAATTAGGCAGTTCATTAACTTCTTTTACTTATCTGGCTTCGTGTTTCTCTCGCACTATTTGATTGAATCCCTAATTAGGATTAACGGCTACCTTCAAGCTTAACCGGTTTCTCCCAGCATATCTCTGTTGACTTACGTCAACTTGAATTAGTACTGTAATACAAAATTACCCCTTAACTATAATTGTAATAAGCATAGATTTAAAATATAGGATCGATAAAAAATTTTTTCTTTAAAAATAAAATGCCTTTTGTAAGCGTTAAAGTTGTATTAAGTGATAGAAAAGAAATACTTAACTGGCAAATATACCCTGTTATTGGTAACCCCTCATTATATGAATTTTTTCGTTTATTAGCTACTGGAAAAATTTCTCCAGAAGTTTTTATTAATAATAATTATCATGATTTTGTATTGAAAGCGAAAGTGGGGATTTCATTAAAGGATGAATTTGTTAATATTAATATTCAATATAATTTGAATGAGATTTTACAAATATTTGGAAATTTTGTTTTATTTGAATTACTAATTCCGGAAGATTATCAACCACTTATACAAAAAGAAAAGGATGTATTTAAAGAACTTATGTCTAATACTACTTAAATTTCTTTACCTTCTTTTCAATTACCAAAAAAACTAAACAAAAAAGATTTATTACGTCAAGATATAGTAGAATGGATAAGAAATAATGGTGGAGGTTGGAATGGAAGATTGGCTGCAGAATCTACTGAAAAATCCTTTATAAATGATTTATTAAATGTTATATGGTATATAGATACTTGTGGTATTGAAAAGATGAAAGTAAGAGCAATACATTCTCCTAAAGAATTTGAGAAATTTTTTAATAGATCAGATCCATCAAGTTATAAAAATGCTAGGCTGCAATTTGATTATGATTGTGTGAATAGATATGCAAATTTGCTTTTTGGATATTTGAATATGCCATGGATAAAAAATCTCAATTTACTTGGTTATTCCCTTTATTAGAAAAATTTTCTAAATGTTTAGTTGAATATTCTATATATTTGTATGAACAGAATATTGAAATAAGCAAAAATCATTAATTAGAAATTTCAGTTAGATCATTAGATGATTCTATTAGCGTTAAAGTTTATAATGGTATTAGTTTTTTTTCAAACCCCCAAACTAAATCCGATTATGATAGTTTAAATAATAAACTATCTACTTTATCTTATTGGGAAGCATTAGATATTGAACCATTTATATCTTCGGAACCAAGGTAAATATGTGAAGCAAAATTATTAATTTAAAATTATCTATACTAATGATAGATACTATATTGTATATTATTTAGAAAAAAATATACTTTTATTCATAATTTGCCTGATAATATTAGTTATAAATTTGGTATTTTCCGTTACTCATCTGGCAATAATGCATTCCATGCATGTTTTTTGTAGTATGTTGATGAAAGTTTAAGCAATAATGAGATAACAAGTAAATCTTATACAATTTGCAATCAATTAAAAAGTAAAATGCCAGCTTATCATACCTGATTTATGCATATGCAATTCAAAAATAAAGTTGATTTAATTTTAGGAATGCTAACTAAAAGTCATCAGATCCATACTTTATATCAAGAATTAACTGGTGATTCTAGTTCGGCTAGTAATATGGTAGAAAAAGAAATTATGCTATGCACAAAACAACTTTTAATTAATGGAGATGATAAAATAATAGTTGATTTATGTAGCCAAAATAAAGGTAGACCCGAACAATTTACTGAATTTTGGAATTATGTTAAAAAGTATCTTGAAGAGCATACTGCAGTTGATGACAAACGACATGAAACAGTTGTACATCACCCTTCAGTTTATCCAGTTCTCTGAATATTAATCTGCATGTAGTATTGTCAAAGGTCTGTGCTACCTTTTTATTCAGAATTTCCTAAGCGAGCACCCCACCACTATATTGTTCTGTGGCTTTTCTCTGATTTTGAAGGACTATCTTGGGTTTGCACTAACTAAACTGGCTGTGTCGATCGGTACCAATACATGAAGGGTCATGTACACCAACTTGGAAGCTCCAAAAGAAGCAAAAAACCTCTAGCAGACACTAAGCTGAGAGAATAAAAAGTTGCTGCAGGAAGTAGAAGGTGGTCATTGTATAATTAGAAAATATAGTAGATCTTGTATGGAATAGAAGGGTTGTACTCCACTCCAGAATTGGTAGATAGAGTTATCAATTAGTTCTAAATAGGAAAATTTACAATTAGATTGCTAGGGTAGGTGTCATTAGAAATAATGTAGCACAACTCATGTACTATGTATTAATGTAATTCCTTAATTGAAATTAATAAAGTCATAACGCTATAGCGATTTAAAAACTTCAAAGCTTCTTAAGCCAAAATGAAGCACTTAATGCTATATATTAGGACATTTTAAAATTAACATATTTTAGAAATAAGTAAAGATCAAATTTGGTTCTCATATTAATGATTTTACTCAAACCATTTGAAGGACGTCTCAAACTATATAATTAATAGTATCACACAGTTTCAATAATAACAAAAAGGCAGTAAATACCTAATGTAATATTATTTATCACAGTTTGGGATGTCCCAAATAGTTAGGTAACATCACTAATTTATGTTTCAAAAAATGAACCTTTTTTCATCTGTAAAGCGTAATTAATAATAAATGGGTTTATAAATAAGACTATTCAGAACTTGATCAAAACAAAATAAACTTTTTAAACAAATGTATTATGTACTTTAATTGAAATAGATTACAGCAAATAAAATTGTGCCAAAAACAGAATTCTGTGCAAATTCTATTATCACAACATTTATTTAAGATCATTGAAATAGTAATTTAAATTATTCATAACCAGACCTCATAATGCAGTAATGAGAAATAGTAATTATACTAATCTAATATAATTCTTCGAATATGTTCATTAGATTGACTTAGCTTGAACAATTATTATGATTAAAATTTTGTATTCAAAATTGCATTTATATAAATCTAATTTACGGAAACTTAAAATAAAATTAAGCAAATCGTGGTATACACTCTACATAAAAGATATAGAAAATAAATAGTTTCATATTTGCATAATCTAATAGTGCTTTACAATTTTCAAATGAAACATTACGCATAATGAAGATCTTTTCATATTCTTGGATATAGGGTTTCGATGATCTTTAGAACTTCAAATCACATGTTTTGAAATTTACTGCTATAGCTGTAGCACGGATCATCTGACTTACACTTTTGGGGTCATCTTGGTTAATTCTGAGTTACCAATGAACCAGTAGACTGCAGTCAGATGCATCAGAGTAGAATGAGTAAGTGATCTTTATATACAGAAATAGTATATCTAAGGTATATGATGATAATATGCTTTAATCTCTGTGAACTACAAATAATACTTCAAGACTAGGAGACTAGGTTTCTTTTTTCTAACTATTCTGTTTAAATTTTCTAGTTTAGTTTAGGATGTTTTTTTCCATATATAGGTTTTTTGATATAGATACATATATTATTAGAGTAGAGTTAGATACAGAGCTTCTTTATTCTATTAATATATAATTTTTTAAAGCTTAATACAGGCTTATAATTATAATCTATTAGATTTTTTTTTCTTTTTATCCTTTCGTCTTTGTATTTGTTTTTTAGTATTAGTTTTTGTTATTTCATTTTTCTCTTTACTATTAATATTAGTGTTAGTACTTTTTTCTTTTTTCCACTTCCATATGAGAAGATGTCATCAGTTTGGTGATATCTTATTGTAGAACAGTGGTCTTATAGTGCCTTCTAAGGTAGATATAATTTCTAGTTGAAATTCATCAAGATGTGTTCAAAAGGACATGTCTGCTCAGTGCAGCCAGTCGTTTGTAAGTACTCTTTAAAGTAACTGCAGAATGTTATGTCTAAAATTACATAGTATAATATTTTGTTTGATATCATTTTAACCAATTGATACCTAGTAATAAAGAATTTTGGCAAGATGGCCAAAGTAAAAAAAAAACAAAAAAAAA